GTAATGATACATGTGAAACATTGGCGAAAATTCCCGCCATAAATACATACCACTTACCAAATATTCAATTGCAGAATATTCGGCAAGTGGGGGGGGGGACTATCTGTATTGGTAAAAATAAATATTACATATGGATTTATGTGATGGCTAGTAAGACAAGACATGTGGATCATCAAGAAAGTGATAGTTGGAGAAATGCATTAAAAGAGGCACGAGTCGTTACAGATGCAAGAAAATCACCCACGAGAGGGGAAGATATGGTCGTTCAAGAAGAGGTACCGGCAGAATGAGTCGAGACAGTAAAAAGGAAAGATTCATTGATCTCCAATTAATGAGCATGGATGATTACAAACGTTACAGAATCTTAACAAAACAGTTACGATTACTAATTATAACGTTTAATTAATGTCATTAATTCTCATAATAACTCAATCATAAAAGGGGAAAAGACGTTGTACTTAAGTCTACTATATAAAGGAAAGAAATGTCATCTGTATGGACATGTTCTGATTATTATTGGAATACAATTATTTACTTTTGCTTTTTATTGATTACTTTGCTATTTCATATTCCAGTTTCCTTTCTTATTGCAAGAATACTAATTTTCTTGATTATCAATACCCGAGTACTTCTAAAAATAGGCTTTGACCGAAATTTCTATTTTTTGGTTAAACATACGGGTGCGGGGATCTGGCTAAAAATAATTCAAAAAAAAAGATAAAAAAAATATCTCTAAATTATGAGAAGTTTTGTGGAATACTAATATATAACTTGTAAAGTGTGAATTTCTTTTTTATTCTCAAGTTAGATAAGTAAATGATTGATTTCCTAGATAAGATATACTATTGTCTTCAAATTTACCCTATGTTTGGTCTTGATTTTGGGAATCATATTGTATATCGTCTCGAATTCCGTCCGTCGTGGTCAAAGTACCTAAAATTGTTTGACCAAATTTGGTACGGATCTTGTACCCACATCCATACTAGTGTCGTGTGGACACGGGTGCGGCACCTAAACTGCCATGTCGGAGCAACTTAGATGATATAGCTGATGATAAAACTGGTTAGTGATGATAGTTGCATGGTGGTCAAAACAGGTGGTAAAGGTAGTTGATAGTGGAGATTAGTGATGATTGGCGAAAGTAGTTGATGGTGATGGTTGTACGATGGTAGCTGATAGTGAAAGTGGTTGGTGGTGATAATTATGCGGTGGTAATTGTCGGATCATCTATGCCAATGAAGATAGTTGATAGTTATTGTGCAACGACAGAATATGGCTAAAGATCCATTCACATGAATTTTTAAGGGAAACTTATACAAATGTCCCAAATAAATCTCAACTTACCAACATCTAGCCATTAATCATAGATTTACCAAAACTAACCAATAAAAATTGAAAAATCAAATAATAGGGTTCTTTCTTTCACAGAATCACATGCACAAATCACCTTTCATATTTTTAAGCGTGATTAGCAACACTAGATACAAGACGGAAAGGAAATTTTATGGATGAGGTAACAAATAAAGTGATGAAATACAAAAAATATATACAATATTCCAAAAATCTAAACAAAAAAGGAACTTTTTCAATGGGTATAGTTGAAATTCATTGAAAATATATAGATAAGTCAATATACAAAATTTGAGGAAGATTGGAGGTGATTTGGACTGGTTTTGTATCAAAATTCTTAATTAAATCGAGTTCAAAAAAGTCTTCTGCAACACATGCATCAAACATGTATCACGCATGTATCTCACACACATGTATACATGGATATACATGTGATACATAATAGATACAAATATGATACATATGTGATACACAAATGATACACAGTGTGATACACATATCATTTTTTTCATGTTCAGTTTTTACCAAATTTTCAATTCAAATCACCTCAAAACTTCACCAAATCATCCCAAAACTGAGATGCAAGCTCCTTAAGTTGTGCCAATCTATTCTAATAACAACCACTCAAAACAAATCAAAAATTTGATATAAGATCTCAAGATTTAAATGAACCAAAACTATTTTGAGCAATGAATGACCGTAAAAGGAGAATAAACAAATGAACTTAAGGAGTTGAGTTCTAAATTAAATTATTAAAATCTGGACCTTCCACAAATCAAAAATCAACCGGCCTTACAGCTTGTTTGGATGGTTGTTATGTAGTGTATTGTTACTTTAAATACGATGTTTGTTTTGATTGTTACTTAAATTTTATTGTATTGTATCGTTAAATCCGTCGTTACATAACGGCGAAATGTGTCACTTTATGTAACGACCGATTTGGTGTGGTCGTATCGTTACCTTTGTCTTTTTCTCTCAATCTCACCCTTCATTATAATTAAATGTTATTTTATCATTATCTTATATTTTCATATAATAATTTTACCCGGTATCATAATTTTTATTTATAATATTGCAAGTTTATTCCTCATATTGCTAGTGCATGATATCATGAAATGACGTCAAACGATATAATATATTCAAACATTGTATTCATCAAACAATATAATAAGATACATTATGAAACGATACGTAACAACCATCCAAACAAAGGAGTACTCACCGTTCAAAGATATCTATAAATTTCACTAAACTATAATTACATAATCATAGGATCCTAAAAAAACCAATTCATTCATGTGAAGACTCTATTCTTGAAATATTTTACACTTTAGCTGAGATCTAAACATAATGTAGTTGTCATTTATCATTAATTTTACGGAAAAGGTCCAAAAATATCCTTAAACTATTTAAAATAGCTCAAAAATATCCTTCGTTTGTTTTTTGTTCCAAAAATATCCCTGCTGTCTATGTTTTGGCCCAAAAATGTCCCTAAATCGTTAGTTTTGCCATTGAAGCTGACATGGCTGTCCAACTGGGTTAGAATTGCTTACATGGTCGTCCACCTAAGCAATCCATATGTGAAAATTATTTTTTCAGAAATTTTTAATAAAATATAAAATCGACATTTATTCTGAAAAAGTAAAAAAATTCGAAAAAAATATTTATTTCGAATTTTGTAAATTAAAATACAAAATCAACACTTATTCCGAAAAAAGTAAAAATTTTATGAAAAATTATTGTTGATTGGGTTTATGATTTGATTAAAAAAACTTCATTGTTCTCTTATGTGAATTTATGATTAATTTATGAATTTCGGAGTTATGTCTTTGAATGCTTTTGAATCCAGTAATAGCGTAGTTATGTCTTGGAACATTATCCATGTATAATTTCAACCCCATTCTTTAGCTCCCCAAAAAAAAAAATTAACACACAACATTTACAAGAAAAAAATTAAAACTTTATTTGTACAACAATAAAGACACTGGTTTCTTAATCCTAAACAAGTTGGGCCGGTTATATGAATTCTCGATATCTATAATCATAAATTCACAAAAAAAAAAAACAATGGAGTTTTTTAATCAATTCATAAACCCGGATCAAGAATAATTTTTTCGTAAATTTTTTACTTTTTTCGGAATAAGTGTTGATTTTTTATTTTAATTACAAAATTCCGAAATAAATATTTTTTTCGAATTTTTTTACTTTTTTCAGAATAAATGTTGATTTTGTATTTTATTAAGAAATTTTGGAAAAATAAAATTTCCGAAAAAATAATTTTCACATATGGATTGCTTAGGTGGACGACCACGGAAGCAATTCTAACCCAGTTGGACTGCCATGTCAGCTTCAATGGCAAAACTAATTTAGGGGCATTTTTGGGCCAAAACATAGACGGCATGGATATTTTTGGCATAAAAAACAAACGGAGGATATTTTTGAGTTCGAATAGTTCAAAGATATTTTTGGACCTTTTCTGTTAATTTTATTATAAAATATGAAAATTTCCTACCCAGCGCTGAGAATTCTAAGAGTATTCATAATGGCAAAGCGAAAAGAAAAATCGATGGGGCACAAGTCCGGTTAATCCAAATTAATGAAGTAACTTTTAAATATTTTCTCATGAGAAAGTCATTTTCCAATAAAAACAGAACTAAAATTATTTTTTCATGAGGAAGTCATTTTCTGATAGTTGGTTACGAAAAAAATGTTTTCAAGGAAAGTAACAAGCAAACACACTTGCCATTTCAAATAAAAATTTTGGGAGCTGTTAAGTAGAGCCTGTTTAGCCAAGTTAAAGCAATTTTGGGAGCTACTTATAACTTATCTACAAACTTTCATCTCTTCATTAATTTTAACACTTTTTCAGCAACTTGTATTTCCCTTTCATTTTTTTTAAGTAGTTGCAACTTGTATAATTTAATGTTTATTGAGGTCTGTGGAATATATAGCATACATGTTAGGACTTATGGAAATGGCTGCTGTACTATTATTAAGCCTATCTGGAGACAGTGAAAGCTTATCATCAGCTTGTTAAGCGGATCTTGATTTGTAAGCTAATAATGGGGTACAATAATTTAAAGCTTTGGGATATGTTTCATCCTTTTCACATTCATAGCAAGCTTTTATTGGTCAAACTAATATTTACTTGCGAGTCAATGTGAAAAGGTTTATACTACTTTTATATTATTCTTAATTCTTAACTTAAACTTAAAGTGCCAGAGTGATGCCCAATGAGGGATCAGGTCAACAAATTACTAGTCAACATCAAGCCTTTATTATATCCTTCAATCCGTGGGCGCCTAAATTAATCCATGTTGGACAGACAATAATATGTATAAATGATGACCCAAGTCTTGTTAACCCAAATTAGTTACGGAAATAAACTTTTTGAAAATGTTTTTCCATGAGAAGATCATTTTCTATCGAAAGTAATGCCTAAAATCATTTATCATGAGCAAGTCATTTCACTCTTGCAGCAACTTTTCATTCTTTTTTTTTCTTTTAATATTTAAAACTAATAATATGTAAAGTGTATATATATATCACTGTTACAAGTTCATGCAATTAAAAAATGGTAGCATATTAGAAGTTGGTGCTATACTAATGCTAAACATATCTGGAGACAGTGAAAGCTTGTTAACCGGATCTTGATCACATTCAAGCTCTGTGAATATATTACCAGGATCATATTTTTTTCTACAAGGAAGGATCAAGTCAAACTTGTCCAGCTAAGATTTAGAATTTCTTAACACCAACGTGGATGCCTCAATTGATCCAAGTTGGGATTCCAACGATATACAAGTCTACTGCAGCTATAATAGTACACAAAAGTCTATCACTGTTGTTGCACTAATACAAAGAGGATACATTTGCTTTATTTCAACTCAAAAACATATCTTTAGGACTTGTTCTGTATCTCCATTTTGTTCAATGGGGATCTTTCCACCATGTTGTACAGAGGTACTGGAGAAAATGCTGGAAATGGTTTGCGGGAAGCAGCATGACGTTCCAATAGAAAGCAATTCTAGCAATCAAACCAGTTCCATTAAGATCAAGGGGACAGTTGTACTGAGGAAGAAAAATGTATTGAACTTCAAGGATGCTGGTTCTGCCTTCCTTGATCGAATGCACGAGCTCTTTGGCAAACGCGTCATCCTAGAGCTCATTAGTGATGTCCATGCTGATCCTGGTAATTTACATTTTCTCCCTAGAGCTGAGCAAAGAGATGCAAACAAACTTGTTAGTTATTATACTTGTTAGTTATTATGTCAGATACAATGTTCTTCCCACACCACAAAGAAAGATCCGTACAGCATCTAGATATTACATTTGCAATGTTATCACTCTTATCATTAAAACATCTGTTGCTTTCTATCTAGTCAAGTATTCAGAATATGCAAGTAGGAACTGCATTGCAGCAGTGTTTGCTGCCCCTAGCAAATGGCTGTGCATACGAGCTGTGTAAGGCAAGTTTTATACTTCCTGGCGTAACCAATTGGACTCCAAAAATGCTCCGGAACATTGACCATATTTTCTTGGTAACAGTGCAGTGGAGCAAGCAGCTCTACGGGGACAATAGATTTCCAGATTATCTTCCACGGTCAACAGTCATGGATTCCACCTATTTTCCTCAAGAGGCTTTTATAACATTACTTTGACAGTACATTTACCATTTTCTTAACCGTCCGCAACAAAGAATCAGCCACCTGATCATCAAATAGAGACAGGTTTTAGCTGTTGAATGAAGTCATTTATGCAATCAATCTCCCAGTCATCCAAGTTCCTTCTTAAATAAAAGTAGAAATCAGCCATAGAGTGCTTGTTCGATATGATTGCATAAAGATCTGGAAACTGCTCAATTAAGGAAGTGTCATAGCCACCTATTTGACCACATCTTCACTCTTCTTCCATTGCCAACTTTCAGCTTAAACAGTCATAAAATTCTTCCCATAGACTCCTAGTAGGCTTCCAAACAGATACACCATACACACCTCTTACACTGTTAGTGCACCTCTCCTCATTCTTACCATATATTTAATGGTTATAACATTGTTCCATAGTTCATTGTTAAAATCATTAAACCTCCGACGCCATTTTAGTAACAAACTCTTATTCTGGAGTTTCAAAATTTTAACTCCTGAACCTCCACTACCTGAATTTTGAATGCCTGGTTATTCCATTTTCACCAACAAATTTTGCGAAAGTAAGCAGCAGAATAAATCTAAAGGTTTTATTTCCCTGGTTTCCTCCCATTTAGAAGCAAAAATACCATAAGAAAACCTTGATAGTTCCTTCTCTGCAGTCGTTTAAATGTTTGAAATCAACTACTTCGGATTAATTTGGAAGCCTTAATGCAATAAATGCAGAATGTATGTTATTCTGTACAGTAACATTGAAGCACAATTTTTTTTTTTCATTCTTAAAGGAAATGGATCAAAAGGGAAGGTGGGAAAACCAGCAATTTTGGACTGGACATCCAGCAAGACTTGGATATCAGTGGAAGAAGTTACATTCAATATTACATTTGAGTTGGATGAGTCAATAGGAGTTCCAGGTGCTTTCATTATAAAGAACTATCATCATAGCCAGTTTTACCTGAAGACCGTTGCTTTAGAAGATATTCCCGGACATGGTGAAGTTCGTTTCGTCTGCAATTCTTGGGTGTATCCAGCACATCGCTACAAGTACGATCGGGTGTTTTTTAGCAACAAGGTATTCATATTTCTTAACCTTACTCCAGGAATCTATATGATGCCTGCAAAACATTGTAATCACTCAACAGGAACTGGCAGAGCTTATTACACGTAATTGCAGAAGAAAGCACTAAGGTTGAGGATGCACTTCAATTTTCTAGGCAAAAAATACATACTGATAGGTTAAACCTAACTGTATGATTCCCAGATACACAAAAAAAAAAAAAAAA